ACATATATATATCACGATCTTCATATATATATATATATATATATATATATATATATATATATATATATATATATATATATATATATATATATGTAAATGCACATTTAATTGAATATGACAGACAAGGTGCTTTGATTTAGATTTTTATACAATTTTTAATATTCTTTTTTTCAGATGATAAATTATATAAAATCTGTCCAATTGTTCTTTTTATCCGAGAACGCTTTCGGCTATACATTTAGCCATTTTCAAGGTTGAAATATATTAACTGTTAACAAGTAATAGATTGTTGTATGTATGTATTTATATAATGTTTTCATTTTCAAGACACGGTGAAGATATTGTGTCCATGTTCATAGTTGATATTATTGAGTGTTGTTTGTTTGTTTTTATTAATAAGGCTTCCATTATTTTGAGTCATTTTTTTTTTTTTTGCATGTAGATCATACTATTATATGAGTGTTGTCAACAAGCATGTTACGAATGGGGTCCGGTAGGTCTCCATCAATATTTAAATGTGACCTAATTGAGTTATAGCCAGAAAGGTGTAGCGTGATTCTTCATATCAAACTTGTAGTGTGGCTGATATAATTATTTACAAATTTTGATTGATCAAGAATACAACTCCTTAATAGACATTTAAAGTACTCGGTTAAAAGAACAATTGGAAAGTTTTTAAAATAATTTATCCTCTGAAAAGAAAAAAAAAACAGTATTAGATCACAAGAGAGATTGTATAAAAACTAAATCAAAGCACCTTGTCTGTCGTATTCAATGAAATGTGCATGAAAGAAGGATTGCTGCTTAAATACACAAATTATATATATATATATATATATATATATATATACTTAGATTAATGTGAGTTTGTGACTGTGGGTTCCACGAGTTTGTCTGACGATCGTAAATAGCGTGAAACCCAAGGTCACAAACTCACATCAATCCAACTAAATATGTTAGCTCTTTCATTGATATTGAGCGCTTTCCAATAAGTACCGCACATATATAATATATAAATGATATATATCAAATATTGCATATATATATATATATATATATATATGTGTCTGTGTGTGTGTGTTTATATACATACATTATATATATATATATATATATATATATATATCCAGGTAAGATCAGAACAAATGAAATGTAATTCCATTGTCCGTAACATTTAATTTAAAAGAGGGCTCAATATGGAGTTATATTACTTATTGTAGGAGATTAAAACGAAATTTTGTTAAAAATCGTTACACAATCGTGTTTCAACACTACAAATGTGTCCCCTCGGACGATTGTAAATTACTGGTGAGTCAAGGATTGATTTTATTTCAAAAGTAGAATACTTCCTCATTTATTTAAAAAAAACAGAATTAAAGGGTGGCTTGTGTGTTTTACCCTGATTAACCAATCAAATGTGACCAACGCTAAATCCAATTCAACCGAGAAGAGTATGTGGGTCATGACATGAAGTTGTCTGCATATAAATCCTAGACAATTTTATTTGTAACAGATACAAATGGTTACATTATATTGTAAAATATATAGAAGTATGGCATTCAAATTTCATAAGAAGTTAAAGGAAACGAGGTAGGAAGGAAATCTGACATAATGTTCACTGGTTATATGCTCAGTCAGCTTCCTACAAAAAGTTTTTTAGTTGATAATTAAAAGGCCTCTTTAAGGAACTGAACTTCAATACAAATACTACTACTTTTGCAAATTAATAATCTTTAAGTAAAGAGCATGAATATAAGATGTTAATAATACTAACTAGGCATCAATATTATGAATGGAAGAGGAGGTGTTAGGAAGTTGGTGATTACGAGGTGAAGAAGAGTTGCATTGTTGATGGAAGCACCAACGCGGGAGTCTGTTCTACAAAGGGAAGTTCTTAGAAAAAAAGTGTCACTTCTTTCTTACATTTTAACACGGGGCAAATAAGGTTGCTTCGACTCCGTAGAAGTAGCGGACTTTTACTTGAAGTGAAAATCCGAAATGTGGGTAATAAAGAATGAATCCATTCTGTACATTTGCGTCGCACAAATCTGTTTTCTTGACAATGAGCCCCTATCAACCTGATTATTAATTTGATCTAATACCTAACGATTACCATTGAAGCAGAGTCGCTACTGTGTCATCTACCAAGCAGTTTTATATATAAAACAATCTGACTCACCGAGAAAATGCATAAAGGAAATACAAAAACTGGTAAATTAATGTCGATTTAGAGAAATCTCTATAGAGTTTTATCATACATAGTTTATGATAGACCTTTCAGTTGCTATCGCTTTATATTATTGTGTTATAAACACAAAATATGCTTATATATTTAATTGTATATGTGGATAGAAATGTAAGCGTTTTACTGCATACTGTATACGGGAGTACATCAGGTCTGTAAAAGTATCGATGCATAAAAACGCTTCAGCAAAATGTTTACTTAAGAAAAGCGTAAATGTGTCAGTGTAAATAGTGAAAAGTTGCACTTTGCACAAATGTTAATGGATTGAGACATTTCTTTTTTTGGTTATTTTATATCTTTTCTTCACAGAGTTTTTCTTATCTTTGTCGTTCGATATTTTTTTGCGTCTTTCTTATCAAAAGTTACGTTTGCATCGTTAAAGAAAACAGTTGAGCCAATTTTCAAGAATCGTATTTTCTTCCGAGAAATGAAGAATATTCCTTCACCTTAATAAAATACACTTTTTTTAACTCACCTGAAATAAAAAAAAATGTCGACTGACGATTTTTGAATTAAACTGTTTTTTGTTTTGTTTTTTATGCATGCAAATATTTGCTTTCCTTAATTTATATAATAGAAATTGATAAGCTGCGTGTAACACTATCGTTTTGACAGAGAAACGAATCCTGATCAATGTGTTTGAAAATCTCTTAAGAATAAATTCACTTTTTTTTATTGTATTAAACATTTGTATAATTTTTTATTGGCATTTAGCGTTATCTTAATTTTTTCTTCCTTTTTACAGCAAGTTAACAAAGCAAAGATTCCCTCTGTGAAATTCGAACTCACACTTCCTTTTGCATTTTTGTTTCTACCAAACTGCCGTAGACTGAGACACTGTAAACTTAAAACTACAACTACATCATTTAGACAAAAGTAAATAGCAATTAATATGACTGTTCATAATTTGTTTGGACAAATAAAAAATAGTACTTCTTACACCACGTTACGGTGGCAAGAAGTGACACATGATCGATTTAATATTGGTACCCTACATAAATATCAATGACAAAGATGGCCAATCCCCGTAACTACTGCTAATCTGGCGTTGGTATCCACTAAAACTCTGTAGTTAGTACAATGAGGAAGGTGTTAGCGCAAGGTTTGGATCCGTGAGACTGGGGATTTATAAGTTAGAGGGAGTGAGACCAGATACGATACCTTTAACCCAATTGTTGATTGACTCTTTCACATTAAAAGTGATATGTTCTGTCCATCTCTACCTCTCCGTCTCCTTCTCCCCTCTCTCTGTCTTTATATCTATATATATATATATATATATATATATATATATATATATATATATATATATATATATATATATATATATATAAATAAAAAAAAAAACAGACCACTTTAAGTTTCCATGTAATAAATTATTTCGCCACAGCCCTTTTAAAGGACTGCGGATCATCAGACTTTACTTCCAAACAAAAAAATGAAAAGAAAATTTACACATTTTTGACGGGCCGTATTAAACATATGTAAATTAACGAAGTGAGGAAGTGAGGGGGGAGAGAGAGAAGACATGAGTGAGTTAGCAGATATTGACACATTGAAACGGTTAACTTAACGGAAGTTATATATTGAAATCGAATATATAACTTCCGTTATATGATATAAATTTGAATGTCTCTAGACTGTCTACAAATAATTTAATTTGATGTTTGTTAGTGATTTAATTTTTTTTTTAATTTTGGGGATTTTCTATGAAATAGTCGATTAGAAAATTATTCATATTTTTTATTTAAATTATTTGCTCTGGATTTACATTGAGCTCTCTGGATTTTATCCTCCTTAGGTTTACCCATACGGATAACCTAGTTTTT